CTTCAAACTCTTTTTTGGGTTGCTCTACAGTGTAGCCAGTTGTTGCAGATGCTTGAATAGCAACTTCCTCTGCAGGACTCTCCTCACCGAAGGGGAGTGCTCTCACATTTGCATTTAACCAATAGGAATGCCCTCCTGTGATTGGCCATAGTCTCCCATCACAGGTCCAATCTTCCAAAGCTGGGAAACAGAGTCAAGAGGAGGTGCAGAAGTCTTGTTTTCACTCAGTCCACTTGAATTACAATGATACCCTCAAAACAAACTGCCTACCCCAACTTTAACACATGGATGTTGAAATTTATCAATAAATTCTTGGCTCTTGCATCCGCCCAAACTGTGTTTTGTTTTGTTTTTTGTCAGTAGCAGCTTTGATAACAGATTGTTAATTTGTGATTTATTAAGAGAAAAACATTTGCTGATCTCAGCTTCTCAAATGTAGGAATAGTTCGCACATATATTTTCAAACAGGTGCATAGGAGAGGGATGAGAGGAATAAAAGTGATTGGAAAAAAATGACTCCTGCAATGTTTTGGTGACTAGACCTTCATCAGGCAAACAGTTTTGTAACGAAACTGTTGAAGGCCATTGGTCGCCTGGTGAAGGTCTAGTCACCAAAACATTGCAGCAGCATTAAAATTATTATTTTTGTGTGCGGGAGTCTTTTATATCAGCTGCTTTTCTCTGTTTTAAATCCTTGTAAATTCACTATCTTTGGGTTGTAGTTGGTAAAAGAAAGTAATTTGGAGAAATCATCTTTGACTCTAGGACGCTGTTGTTGCCATTTTTCCCACATTTTTTCATATGTATATGTTAAAGTCTAAAATAACGTCAATCAAATTCTACAGATTAATCAATAATTAGAAATAATTGTTGGTTCCAGCCCTAAAATGACATGAGAAGCAGCTTTAGCTGTAAATTCAGATTTTATAAGATATAAAGTCAAATTTTAAAATGAGCCAAATAATGAAAAAGGAGCTGCACACACAGCGCCAGTGTCAGATTAATTTAAGAGGCAGCCCAACTGTTTTGGCAGGAAAAGACTGAATGGCCTGTGGCCAATTGCACGCTAAAAAAAATGGTCAAAGGTCTGAGCCCACACACACTGTCACAAAATGTCTTGTGTGACACCTCAGAGTGGAAGACACCCACACTTTGCTTCTGCTTTGCTTAATCTGAATGGATTTCTCTGAAAGCACAACGCCAGCCTGGAAAATGTGTGTGAGAGCGCCAAAATGCCAATGAAGAGGGAGCTGGAGAGAGAGAGAGAGAGAGACGCAGGGAAAAAGGGAAATGGTCTTATGGAGAAGAGACAATACAAAGTTAGTGTGGGTGGCCTGCCAAGCCTGCAAGAGAAATATCACTCTCACACCCATTCTGGCTCGCAGGATTCCCCATGGCACAAGCATGTCGGCCAAACTGTGACAATCTCTGTCCAATCAAGGCCCTGTGGCCCTTAATTACTGAGCCGTAACCTCCAACAATAATTCATGCATTTCAAAAGCTCATGAGATAATCGGGGGCATTAAAACGCCTCTGGTCTGCAGCGAGGAGCTAGAGATGTAGTAAATGAAAGATGGCTAACAGAAAGAGACCTTTGCTGATTTGGGGGTGAGCACTCTTTCAGATTGAAGTGGCTGCTGAAAATTGCTTGCACCTTAAGAAATCAGATGTTGCATTAGAAAATAACTGTCTGTCACAAATATTTGGTCATGCGTCACTGGTATCCACATGTCCAGAATATTAACAGAGGCTATAGTAGAATCTATACGTCAACTCGAGCCGCCACACTGTCAGTGAATAGAAAACCTTGAGCTATTTACATGCATGCAAGGCTACATTTGTTCTAGGCTCTGAGCCAGTAAATGTGAATGTATTTCCACAGAAACACTCAATATATCATAATAATTAATTAAATGACTTAACATCACACCACAGGTAAGATTATGAATAAGGGTAATTATGGTAATTATACACAGGCAGGTACAAGGTTGGACATGTATTTACAATGGATGTTTCCTGGTGTCGCCTTGTTCCATTTAGTGTTTGGGCATTCAGCAAGATGAATCATTCCTTTACAACATATATTTTTCTTCAGGGCATTTTTTCTGTTGACTCTGTGTTGTGCTGCCTGTTGGTGACGTGCTACTTTTCCATAATGGATGTGTAGTCCAAACTGTAGCCAGTAAACAGACGTATGACCACAGCACATGCATGTAGGATTATTAGTGGTCACAACATCAAAGTGTGATTGTGTACTTTTTATTATTTTAATTCCTCAACTGAAAATATAGTGTATTAGAAACCTTTCATGGTAGAAATAATATGTTTTCTTCGTTAGAGAAGGAAATTCTCAGATTATTATTTTGGCATAATTTCCTCTTGGTGCTATTTTGGTTTTACCATAGTCTCTGTGAATACTGGATTCTGATTGACTCCCAGTTGTCCATTAAAACCTGATTAAGGACACCTACTAAGTAGCTCCCTTGAAACTGTCTTGTCACCGTTATGAACTGACTACATTACAGTCTGTGTCTGATATAAGTAAACAGCAACAGGGACACAGTCAAAGCCTCCGCTGAAAATTTATATTCAGCACTGAGTGCAGTCCTTCAGTGCCTCATCCTCTGAACATCACAGGAGAGCGACTTTAACACTCAAGCTGCAAAAAGTACACTGGCCCTTTGAACTTAGTGATTCTTTACATCACATCAGAGATCATCTCACATCCCATTCGCTTTTCAACTTGCTACTTCAGGCTGCTGTTAAGTTAGGCACAGTGTATAGTTTGCACATGAACCTCTTGATATTGATTTGGGGACAGTGACATGGCAGGATAGTGAGGTATTTTCGTTGTTATATTTACTGTTTGTCAACCGTACGCAATGTAAAGGATTTGATGATCTGGCTAGCAAAATGTTAGCTTTCTGGCTCATAGTTAAGTCAAAGGGTGTGAATTCAAAAAAGCTTTCTAGCTGATGTTGGGTTTACGCTGGCTGTGCCGCAGCAACGAGCTCTGTAGCCAGTTCACATTCTGCAGTGACAGCTTTGATATTTGGTCTATTTTTTCTGCAAGCTGCAAGCTAATATGGCAATAAAAGCACTGATAATCTATTATGAAAGACATTCAGGCTATATTAGACATGATAAAAATGATGTGATTATGATAAATGATAGAATATGCACCCCATGGTTTCACATATTTGTCAGTTGTGTCTAAAGAAAAAACAAAAGAGACTAACGGACACACAGAGAGACACATGCAGACAGAGATGGAGCTGTACGTGTGATTTGAACAGAGCAGAGGAGCAGAATTGCCTGCTGACTGGCACAGAAAATGCGCCTCATAGATCCTACATATAAGGGTGCTTCCGTGTCGGGTGTGAACATGGCATTAGAGTACATTATCCAAACAAATTGGCCCATTTATAATTCACATTTAAAGTTTTAATCTTTATAAAAAATGGCACAGAAGTGGCGCAAATGGCACATTTTTGCTAAATAAAGAGCTCCACATACCATCAGGTAATTTTGCATCCACCAGTACAGCCAGTGTTGCAGAAATTTCCGCTGCACATCCCCATTGTGTGCACATTAACTTGCAAAGCTTAATTAATAATTCCATTTGGCATGTTTATAAATACATGCAGCTCTATCATTAGCTCATCCCTGGTAATTAGTCTACTGTTAATCTCAATTGAACACACCTGCTTTTTATAATCTCTTTTGCACATACAGCACATTTACACTGAGACGGCTTTTGGATTTGAGGCTCGTGAGGAGAAAGGAGAAGTTGGGATTGGCATGCTGTATCTCCTTCTCAGACCCCACCTCCTCACAGCAATTAACAGTCACAAAAACCTATGGAACAACCTGGGCCAGGATTAATAAACTCCTATCACCAGTTATTACATTGAGCCTATGAGCGGATTATCCCCGTCCTGTGAATGGATGTCTCCATTTCCTGCTGCTCTGATTCCTCACGACTTAATTCACAGTTGGACATTCAGCCGAGCGGGTCAGGATTTGATCACAGTGGAACGTATATCCATGTTTTAAAGTTGCTAATGGAAAATGGCACAGGGCATATAGGTCATGATTAATGGAATAGACGTGTAGGTCCAAGACCTAATGTGAACAAAGTCACTCAGAGGGAAATCCAGGTGTTCCTGCAACAGAAACGAGAAAGAGTTTTTGTTTTTAACTGATGAGATTTCCCGAAGGAGAAAACCTTGCACTCCAGATATTGGAATTGATTTGCTCCTTTGCAGCGATCCAGATATTTACCTTCTAGCTAATTGCAAGAGGCAAGACTCATTCAGTGTAGAAAGAACAAGACTGAGGAGCGATGCATTTTCTTCTACGCCTTTTGGACTGACGCCACACCCTCCATTTAAAAAGTTCAGCTCACTGCAAGTGCACAGAAGCATCCTGTCCAACCTGAGCTGCTCTCCAAAGTGGGTGTGACTCGAGGGTAGAAGTGTCGAAAACACACGTTTTAGTAACTGTTCGTAAACAGAGTAGAATATTCAAGTAAATCTATAATTGGGTTTCATGATGGCTCTCTTCAAAAATCTTTTTTTGGCACTATTATGGATATTAGTTGTCTGGGACAAGCACTAAATATGCTGCTTCATCATCAGCCTACTTCAAATAAGGACCAGGGACAAACTCACAAGTGGATAATTCTTTAAGCTGGACCCGTTCATTGAAACCACTTGAGTCTTTAAGTGAACACATTTTTCTTGATTGCATGATGTGGCTGTTAGAAGTACTGATCATGTATTTAAATACACTCGTGAAACCCTTTTCAGCCTCCCTTAGGATTGTTGAACTACATAGATATGAATGTGCGACTCAACCTCACACTTGACATGTTTAACAATGAGCCAAATGAGTGACCACACAGGATGCACCCTGCATGATTCAGCTGCATGTAACCACACAATACATCATAATGAAGTATGTGATGTGACTAACATACATGTGTCTGTGTCCTACAGATCAGGAGCGGATAGGAAAGGACTCCAACTACGAACAGGAAGGAAAGGTGCAGTTTGTGATCGATGCGGTCTACGCTATGGCTCATGCTCTGCACAACATGCATCAGGAGCTCTGCCCGGGGAAGGTGGGCCTCTGCGCCAAAATGGATCCCATCAATGGCACTCATCTGCTCAAGCACATCCGCCGTCTGAACTTTGCAGGTTGGTCACGTTTATTATAATTAGAGTATTTAAGTATTAAACCCCTGGCAACACTGAAAGAATATAGATTTAATAACCTCATAGGGATGTTTCAAGAACCTTTACTTTGGTACCAAATTGACGCCAAAAATCAGAACTCATTTTCCTTCAGTATGAGAGGTACCAGGGATGAAATCCTTCCAGACCTGATGAGGCAGCATAAATGCCTTCAATCCAATCCAAAATTAATTATAAAGCACATAGAAACAACAGTTATGTAAGTGCTGTAAGATGAGAAAACAACACAGGAGAACATAAAAACAGAAAATAAATGACACAGGGAAAACACAGAGATCATCACAGTTAAGACACAAGTTTTAAAGACACAAGGACAATAATATAACAAAAGCAATGCTCAGAGTGATTTAAAAACCAGAGAATAAAAATGTGTTTGAAGACATGATTTAAAACAGGCAGTGTCAGTGCCTGCTAACATGTAGAGGCAACTCGTTCCAGAGTTTGCGGGCTACAACTGAGAAGCCGCGATCTCCCCTGTGCTTCAGTCTCGATCTTTGGACAACAAGAAGCAATTTGTCAACTGACATGAGTGACCTTTGGGGAGGATGTATGTTTTGTTTTTTTTCTTTAAGATTATTTATTTGGCTGTTTGTCTTTATTTTGAAGGACAGCTTTAGTTTGAAAGGGGGGGAGAGGGGGGATGACATGCAGCAAAGGGCCAGGGGTTGGAATTGAACCTGAGGCCGCTGCAACAAGGACAAAGCCTTTGTACATGGAGCATCCACTCTACCAGGTGAGCTACTGGGCGCCCCGTGTCGTGTGGTCGTAAAAGGTCAGAGAGACCGGTTTGGGCCAGCCCCTTTATTGACATGTAGGTACGCAATAAAATCTTAATCTATGTCTTCAAGTGTCCAGAGGCCTGTACTACAAACCAGGATTTGGAGTTAAAGAGGTAACCTCACCCTTATGCTGAACAGCTGACCTGCACCTGAGCAGGTTAACTTCAGAGTATCGGCTCACAGCCTGTCAACACCCCGACCTCTGACCAATCAGATCACTGAAAAAAAAAATGAATCCATGGACAAAAGTCCAGAGTCTCAGTCAAAAAAGCATAGCCTATATATTGTTATAGGTCAGTAGAATCATTTCATTGTTCCAGGGCTCTATTTCCACTGGTTTTAAACCAGAGCTTCTAATAAATGGAGAACTCGTTTACAACACTAAACACATGATTTTAGCACTATTTGAAATTATGCAAGGTTTATTTTAGTCCGCAGTGACAGTGTTGCTGTTTTACACTCTGACAGTCACAGTGGTGACACTGCAGCTCAAAATAACATGAGACACCAAAAACTGTTAATTGGCTCCCGTTATTATTAATGCAACAATTGAGTCAGACAGACCTCATCAGTCATTAACTACTTTTCAACCTTTTACTTCAGTAGCAGAAACGGTCTAGTGTTTTACAGTATGTGACATATTCAGAGGAGTTTGTCAGCAAAAACTCTATATTAATGTCACGTGTAGCTCAGTGATACCTACACGTAATTTAAGTCTTGGCCAACAGTGTACTTTTGGATAGTATTTACAATATTTCTACATTTTTCGTGATAAGATTAAAGAGTATCATTTACTGTACATCCCGCATCACTGACTTTTACTGTCTTGCAGTTGCAGATACTTTCAGTACCGTTTCATCTCAATCGATAGGAAGTAACCTTCTTCATTCATGGTTCTGATGATGTTGCCTGTAGTTAACACCCACGCTTCTTTTACGTGAACACGCTTGCATCTGGATAGGAAAACCCAGAGCTGACTGAACTAGTTGATAGCCAGCTTTGTAGTACCTGTTATCCAGATGGCCAGTGTTAGGGTTAGTCAAACCAGATAACAAAAGAAATCGTAGGTAAGTTGAACTGGCTTCGTAGTACAGGCCTCAGGTCTGCTGATAAATTCCGAAGGAAGAAGAACAACAACATGTGGGAGATGGAGACAAGTGCAGCTGGAGAGACAACTTCGTCTTGTCTCATCGAAAAGAAATAATGTTTTTTTCCAGATGCCAGTGTATTTTGTTACTTCTTTTCAATGGGAGCACCGCGTATTTACACTTAGCTACTAACAGCAGCAATGTGACAAAGTACTGAGTGTCTATCTTGTCCTAAGCGCTGCGTTACACACTGGATTATCACTATAACTTTTTACCCAGGCATCCAGTCACAGTGGAGGAGGGGTGGGACAAATACCACAAACACCAGCTGTCAAATCTTTAATGTACAAGTGCTGAAGAACATCAAGGGAGGAGAAATATGTTGATATAATGAAGGCTATATATGAACAAATGTTTCATCTCCCACAAAATCTCATGAGCCCACATAGACTGGTACTTTGTGTCAGAGGGGAACCATCTGTGATTAATAACAAAATTTGAATTAGATTTAGATTAAATATTATTAACAATAGAGTGTACATGGAATTTATTATTGTTTTGTTTTTGTTTTTTACCGTAGTATTGAATTGGGTATCAAGAATCGTGGAATTCAACTGATATTGGTATCGACTTATACATTTCTAGTATCGTGACATGCCTATAACCTCATGTATATTACGTGCATTACCTTGGAAAGCATTTATTGCACAACCAGATAAAGATTTTACACACATAGACGTCATCAACATCTCGTGGGTCACAACCCAGCGCCAGCAGTGACTTTGTTCTGTTGTATGACCCATTTTCCATTTCCTCCATGTAGCCCTACACCCAGCTATCAGTCAAATTCACACTCATGACTGGCATATTAATAATTAACTGCTTTCACACAAAGAGCAGTGATCCAGAGTTTCATTATATAGACACTGCCTTTTAAAAGCAAAGCAATTTAAGACAATTAAAATTCCTTCTCTGAGACTTGAGTATGCAGTGTTTGTACAGATAAATTATTCATTTGAACTCCTGCTCTTCAAGCTAATTTGTCATTCCAGTATCTACTTGTTGCTTTGGCAAAATGTCAATTCAATGTTTAATTCATATCTGAGAAGTGAAAGAAAATAATTTTTCCTTCAAAAAATTGAATGGGTGATTTTGAAGGCTTTCCTGTCACAAAAGATCAGCGACATTTTCATAACGACAGCGTGGATGCCACTCTATGAAGTGGCTCCTAATGTTGTCTGGACTGCACCACTGCTGCCAGAGCGAATCACAACCCTGTCGTTCTCTGCTGGACACACGAGCAGAGCATCTCACTTCCTGCTCTTGTATCTGCTCTGCTGTTGTTACAAGCGTCGTCTCGTTCTTAGCCGATTAACTTCCATTTGAAGCCTTGAGTTTACTTGTGAGTGTATGGAAATGTGCGGAAGATGAGTCATAGTCGTAATGAATGAGCCCACACCTCCGATTCATTCAGTGAGTGAAACAGTTGTGGTCTTGTGTTTATTGATGGTGGTTTTTACCTGGTGAAGAAACAATCAAGCAATAAGAGCTTTGTTGGCAACAGAAAGGGGGACGTCATTCTTATAGCTTTCCAGCTTCTTCCATAAACCACAGAAACATTACCACAAATCTACTGATGAACGTGGATGAAACTGACGCAGCTATCCTTCAACCTACAGGAGACACAACTCTCAAAGTGACATGTTTGTTTGATCATCCTGAAAAACCTTAAGTTAACTGCTCCTGGGGTCTCATTTATAAACACTGCGTACATACAAAACGAGGCCTGAAGGAGGCATACGCCACTTCCCACACAAAGAGTGTGATCTATAAAAACAGCCATGATGGGAGAAACTTTGACCCATGCTTACAGACATTTTGGAGACGAGTATTTGGCAATGCACATGGAGAGTTGGAAGCCTGATTGTAGAAATTGTCGAATATTTTTTGCCACATACCAGTTTTGGCTTTTGTTCATATGGACATTTTTAGTATGGATCCTTCACACTGATTTATTAATGAGACCCCTGGTGACCTCTACTGAAGCTTGTGTGTTGACTGATGCAGGTGTGGAGGATAAGATATTCACTAGAGACAAGAACATGAACAATCCCTCCTAAAGAAAAATTGGCTCACTGTAATGGACACATTGTCAGACTTAACAAAGGTCAAACAGTCTGGATTATCAGGCTGGTGATATTAATATTAATATACAGTATCCAGTAGGCAGGTGTGAGACCTGTGTCAAGGTATATAACAGATTTATATATAATTTATTATATCTGCTAGAATTGTTCTGACTATAACAAACTATTTGGTATTAGGCCACTGCTTTGGTGATTACTTCTATTTTGGAGGTTCTTACTGTTGCAATCAAGCTGACTTCTGGTTTGGCCCGACAGTATGAATGTGTGTATTAGGGATGCATTATATATATATCAGGCCGACAATGGGACATTTTTATAATCATGCATTATTTGGATAATTAATATTTTAGCCGATTATCAGTGTCAATAATACAAAGCCAGTCTGCTTTTATTGACTTAACAAGGGCATCATCTACACACCTGATACAGTGTGGTGGTACATGTACATCTAAACTTGGTTTGTGAGCCGCCAATAAACGTCGTATGCTGTAAAGCCCTGTGAGGCAAATTGTGATTTGTGATGTTGGGCTTTATAAATAAAATTGATTGATTGATTGATTAAACACAGAGAAGAACAACAACAACTGCAGCAAGCTGTCAGGACGGCAAAATATGTTGAGGTGTGGACGTCTTTCACAGTTCCAGAGGAAGACAACAGAATTGTACTGAGGGTCTGATCTCCGACCACCCAACAAGCCACTAGATCAACAAACTTCTTGCAGCTGTTAAGCAGGTTAGACACAGCGCTGAAGGATGTTCTCCAGAGTGCACAAGCTAATTCGCAGCAGTGGCTAACATCCAACACCAAGCTTTTCTTGATAACCATGTGATGCTACAGTTAGCGATCACTGTATCTCTGGCTGCGTGTGTGTGAAACACAGCCACTTGTTTAAGTGTTAATGTGTGAGGTGAATCAACAGTGCATCACT